GCCCCCGCCACCACCGCAGGGCTCCGGGCCAGGTGCGGGGCCAGGAAAGGGCCCAGGGGGAGAGTTGATGTGGGCCCTGGGGGCGAGGAGAATGGGCATGGCGAGCAGTCACCCCTGTGGGCATGCTGGCTGTTACATGCTCCCCCACGGCCCTTGGAGTAGGGGGTGATGTCCCGGGCCGCCATTCCCACTCGCACAGTCATTTAGGGAAGCTAAGCCCAGGGCACTCAGGGGTCTGTCCAGCACCCAGAGATGTGTCCGTGGCAACCTGGGCCAGACCCGGATCTCTTGGCTTCTCACCTTCATGCCTCACGCCCCTTTCCTTGTAGCTGGGGCAGGCCGGTGTGAGGGTCCTCCCCCCTGGCACCAGCTGGTAGCCGGAGTTCCTCATCCCTTTTTCTCTCTCCCCACAGGGATCAGCGCTAACCAGTCCAACCCGATGCACCTGAGCTCAGCTGCTGCCCAAAGCCCCATGGGCATGACCCTGCCAGGCCAGCAGCCCCTGTCCCACGAGCCCCAGCCTGCCATGCTCCCCTCCCCCACCCCTCTGGGTTCCAACATTCCACTGCACCCCAATGCTCAGGGGACAGGGGGGCCTCCTCAGAACTCAATGATGATGGCTCCAGGGGGCCCAGACTCCCTGAATGCCCCCTGTGGCCCTGTGCCCAGCTCCTCCCAGATGATGCCCTTCCCCCCACGGCTGCAGCAGCCCCATGGCGGCGGTGCCATCCCCAGTGGGGGTGGGGGGCCGGGCCTCCAGCAGCTCCTGGGCGCATGGGCGACGCGTACCCGCCGGGTGTGCTCCCAGGGGTGGCATCCGTCCTGAACGACCCCGAGCTGAGCGAGGTGATCCGGCCCACCCCGACGGGGATCCCCGAGTTCGACTTGTCCAGGATCATCCCCTCGGAGAAGCCAAGCAGCACCCTCCAGTACTTCCCCAAGAGCGAGAACCAGCCCCCCAAGGCCCAGCCCCCCAATCTGCATCTCATGAACCTGCAGAACATGATGGCGGAGCAAACCCCCTCACGGGCCCCCAACCTCCCAGGCCAGCAGGGTGTCCAGCGGGGGCTCAACATGCCCATGTGCCACCCCGGACAGATGTCCTTGCTGGGCAGGACAGGTATGCCCCCGCAGCAGGGCATGGTGCCCCACGGTCTGCACCAGGGGGTCATGTCCCCGCCGCAAGGCCTCATGACCCAGCAGAATTTCATGCTGATGAAGCAGCGGGGCGTAGGGGGCGAGGTCTACAGCCAGCCCCCCCACATGCTCTCCCCGCAGGGCTCCCTCATGGGCCCCCCGCCCCAGCAGAACCTCATGGTGTCCCACCCTCTGCGGCAGCGCAGTGTGTCTCTGGACAGCCAGATGGGCTACCTCCCCGGCCCGGGCGGCATGGCCAACCTGCCCTTCTAGCACTCCCTGCCTGGGGCCGGGCAGTACTGCAAATAGTGTCACCTGAAAAGTGTCTTCCCTCCAGTGTTGGGGTGACCTGGGGTCCAGGGTGGGTTGGAGGGTGGGAGGGGCTTTGTGGGGAATGGCATTGGTGGCAACCAGACGTGCTGGCAGCTGAGTGGGAGGGCTCTGGGTAGGGAGTTGTTCCATTGTGGCCGTCAGACCATCCACCCCACCCCCAAGTCCTTGGAGCCTGTTTTCCCTGTGTCTCTGCACCCCTCATTCAGCTCTGTGTTCCGAGTCCTGTATGGAGTCCTTGGAGGGGAGAGGAAGAGGAGGTGACATCTCCCTTCTCCATCCCCCCTTCCCACCACTCTCTCCAGTGCTCCAGCCTTGCTGCTCCTGGTTCTGCTCCCACCTGGTTCTCCTCTTTTCCTGCCTCATCTCCTCTCTCTGCTGCTGTGGCTCACCCTCTCACCCCCTCACACCCCCTCCCCCCCCCACCCCGCCCCGCAGGTGGCCAGCCAGGTGGGCGGAGCTGCCGCTGGCGCATAGAGAGCTGTGCTTCGTGCTGGTCTGTGTGCGCCTTAGTCCTGAGCTTTGATAGAGGTCACCCAAAAGAGGGATGAAAGAAGCCCTTCCCCTCTTTCAGATTACTGCCCCAGGGCCTGCAGCCTGACACACCTGTCCACTGCTCACAGCATCTCTGGGTCCCTAGAGGGTGCCATTCTGGTCCCCCCAAATGGGGAAATGACAGAGAGCCCACACCTGATGCATAGCCCACACCTGATAGAATGTCCAAACCTGACAGAGGGCCCACACCTGACAGCCCCCCACACCTGACAGCCCCCCACACCTGACGGCCCCCCACACCTGATGGCCCCCCACACCTGACGTAGCCCCCCACACCTGACATAGCCCACACCTGAACTGAGGTCAGACCACCTGGCTTTTCCCTGGTGAGCCCAGCAGGGCTGAGACCTGTGGGACAGCAGGCTGCGCGCGCGCGCGCATGTGTGTGTGTGTGTGTGTGTGTGTGTGTGTGACGCGCCCCTGGCTTCTGGTTGTGGATGGCTGATGTCCCCGTAGCTACATCTTAGCCAGAACTTGAAGTCCTGGGTCCCCAGGCTGAGGGGCGGGGAGAGGAAAGGCAGAGGCTGTGTGGCCCCAAGTGGAGCCGTGAGGAACAGCGGGGGCCCAGGGGCCCTGTGCCTGCGGCAATGGCTCTGGGCCAGCTCACCCCCAGGGCCCCCAATCTCCAGAGGCTGCCACCTAATCTATCACCGAAGAAGGGAGGGTGTGGCCGAGCCTGTCTCTCCCAGCCTCTGCCTGCTGGCCTGTCTGCCTGCCACCCACGCACTGGCAAAGCCCCTCTGCCCAGGGCCCGGGCTGTGCCCACCCGGGCGCAGTCACTGTCTCCCCCTCCGAGCTCCCCCGACCTCAGTCGAGCTGAAGCCATACACACTGGGTGCTGTGCACCCCCCACCCCCAACATACACACCCAGGAGTAAAACTTTGCAAACTTCCCTTCCTGCTGTGGGGCAGGCCGCTCCCTGGGCCTCCAGGGCCACGTCTAGACAAGGTGTCCTCTGCCAGGGCCTCTGCTCAGCCCAACCTGCAGGGCCTGGCCCCACCTCGGCAGCTGTCACACAAAGGGACTCCCCCACTTCTCCGTCTGGTGCTGTGCTCAGTCCACTGTCAGCCGCACCCAGCGCTTCCTCCGGGGCTGGCTGCAGGCTCCTGCCTCCCCGGCCCAGGACCCAGGCCTCTGTGTCCAGGAGCCACTGCCACCATCCAGCCAGGCGCCCTGCCTGCGCGGCCTGCACTGGGCCTGTATCCCTGAGCCCCCACCCCCACCCCAAACTCTCCAAACGGACTCCGTGTTGCCTGCCCAGAGGGGAGGGACAGACTGCGAGGCCTGACACTCTCCTCTCCCACCTGCTGTCAGAGTAGCTTTTCCAGGTAGACATCCTTTGGGTTTTTATTTTGAAACAATTTTTAGGCTTGTTCCGGGGGTCTCTGTGCTGCCTGTACTGTATTGACCTGTTTTATAGGTGCCTTTTTATTAAAAACGAACTCCACAGGCCAGCCTCCTCCATCCACGGCCATCCCCAGCCATTTTGTACCATTATATAAATATATATAAATATAAATATATAAACACACACACACACATTAGTGTCCAGTGCACAGATTCATGCACATTGAAAGGAAATTAGAATATTTTAATATTGCTATTCGCCCTTTCTCTATAATAGAAGTGTCAACCAAATTCATGATTGACAATGACAGATCTTAACACACACGTGCGATTGGCACCATCAAGACCTTAATATGTATCGCGCATGTGTGAGTCAACTTAGCCTTTTATAGATATAAAATAAACTTGCTTAATTAGACCTTTCTGATTTAGCTACACTTTTTCCAGCCCAGTGAAGCACCCCAACTTCTCTTTCAGGTAATTGTCAGCAACACAGCAGTAAATATCAACACGAAGCACATTATTGCAGATCACGCAGGGAGAAAAAAGGGTGAAATATTTAACTGCAGCAGTGTTTGACTATGTTCTGCGCAGTGAGGAAACCTGAAGTCATTTTCAAGGTCCACCATTTCTTACTTCTTTTCAGTCGGGTCAAGTTTCTAAGACTTCTAAATCTCTGTTTTCCAGCTGATGAAAAGAAAATAGGATTCTACTGAGTCTCCTACCTACCTACTCCAGGACTTCTGTGAGGATGAAATGAGATGAGGCACGTGAAAACGCTTCAAAAACATTTGGTTAAACTGTGAAATATTTGCACCTGGCTATAAAGCAAGTCATGTTCCTGGGCAGAAGAAACTCCAAGGAGACTAGTCGCTAGGGAGAGGAAGCCGAGTGTTGCTACGTGACGTCATTACCCGGCGCCCACAGCAACCGCTGGGCGGGGTGTGAGCCGCATTTTGTGCCATGGGATCTTGGCAGCATTGGCTTTGATTTGGTGGGGTGTCACTCTGGGGTGGTGGTGGGGCATGTGTCCCACTTGGGGGAAGCCGAGTGTTGGTTTGTTGGTGCCAGGTTTGTGGTGCCATTTATTTTTAAATGGCCAGTGTGCATCATGGCAGCTCCTGCATTGAGCGTCTGCCCACTGGTGGTCAGTGCGCATCATAGCTACCAGTTGGGACAGACACTTAGCCTTTTATATATATGTAGATATACACATACATACATACACACACACAATTTATATGTATCTATATACTAATATATAAAAGGCTAATAGGCAAAGCGTCCCTCAGGAGTTCGATCACTTGCTATGATGTGCGCTGACCACCAGGGGGTGGCGCGGAATGAAGGAAGGCCCTGGCCAGCCAGCCTTGGGGACCCTACCTGTGCATGAATTTTGTGCAACGAGCCTCTAGAGTGCGTGTGTGTGTGTGCGTGTGCGTGTGTGTGTGTGTGTGTACCAAATGTAACTTTCTGAGATATTAATGTTTATTTACTAAAATCATATAATTTCTACACCTAATTTTTACTATTACCTGAAACAACCTGTTTTTAATCAATATCTGACCTTATTTACTTTATACATTTGGTTGGGAAATGCAACAAACAAAGTTAAGTTTTCATTGTCCATGCTTAGAATAGGCAGCATCTTAAAAACTTTTAAGAAATTACAAAGGTTGGCCCAGGATAGAGAAGCTGGGTGGGTAACTGGTGAACACATGGAGAAATTTACTTTCATTACGTACCATTTTGTATTTCTATGTTTGTGTACCAGATACATATTATTCAAAGAATTCAAAACTATATTTAGTTTATGCATCAAAAGTATTTGAAGGCTAGTTAATGTCCAATGCTGTGATAAAGATTATTTCTATATCTCAAGGATTTGAATGATGGCTATAAAATAGGACCTATTTAGGTAATTTTAAGTTTGAGAAATAAGAATAGCGGTAAGTCCATCTCTGTTATCCACATTTCCTCATGCTCTTTGACCAAATATGAATAAAATAACCTCCAATAAATGCCATTGTTTAACATGCTTGCTTCTGTAACCAATGAATGTGACCGCAGTGCTCTACATAGCATTAAAGGCTTAGTTGTCTTCCAGTATGAAACTGAGTCCATTACCCAGTCCTTCAAGATCTACATAAACAGCCTTGTCTTTAGATGTTTAGGGGACATCTCAGCCCCCTAACCTATATAAACTTTGCATTGGTGAACTACTTATGCGTCATACTTTCATTTATCCATTATTGCTTCCTTTGTTGATGACATTCCAAATTCTTGAGCCAAGACCTTTTCCTAAGCACCACTTTCTGTGCTCAAGGACCTGATTAATGCCTTTCATCCTGATCTTGCTGCCCTAATTATTCCTAAAAGGTAGTGGAACCAAAGGTACCTGCCATTTCCTTAACACCAATCATCCCTGCCTTATTTCCTCCACATAACCCTCCCACATCCAACTAACCACCATGTCCTAACATTTTCATGATCAACATATCTTGATTTCTACTTTTCCTCTCCAATCCTATCACCACATATCAACTGCTTCCCATTCTATGTTCTGGCTTATTATAAATGCATCCTTCCCACAAATGTATTGCTCTCCTTCAAAAAAAATTCCTGGTAGCTCATCATGGAAAAAGATCTGATCCCTTTTTCCAGTCTCATTTCAGGAAACTACAGCTTCATGCACATTTATCAGCATCCAGCCGTCATTCATGATGGCTCCAAAACAAGTTTAACTCTACCAGCCATTGTGGCTCAGAGGTTGAACATCAACCCATGAATATAGAAGTTACTGGCACATGCCCGAGTTGTGGGTTGATCCCCAGTAGGGGATGTGCAGGAGGGCAACCAAC